CCCCTCTTTTTCATCGTAAAATAAAAAGATGGCAAAGAACTGTGTCCCACAAAAGATATAATAAAAAAATAGTCTCCTTGTGATTAGCAACAGCAGCTATATTGTGTTTGATATTTTAAACTTCCACGTACTGCGCTAACAGTTTTTTTTCTTTCTATTCAATAAAATTATTTTTTGTTTGTAGTTATATACGGTGGTCGTGTAATTGATTCATATGATCGACGTATAATTCATACTTATATGAAAGAGTATTTTGGAGATTTTGTTTTTGATTATTTTCAACCATTTCATTTCTTTATTGATACTAATAAATCATTGAAATATGATTATTTTATACCTGAATTACGTGATTTTTTATCGGCAAAACAAAGATGGTTATTAAGAGAAGCAAATATATCCGTCTGTATTTGTTGTTTTTTTTTTGATTGTCTTTTTTTCTTTATTTAATTATTTTAGATTGAACCACAAATTGAATATAATTTCGAAAAATTTTTACCTGAAAAAGTTTCAAATCTTTTTCAACGTAATATAGAAAAATCAAATATTGACATTAATCAAATTGAATATCAACGAATTGATTATCAACTTTTATCTAAAAATGTTCTTTTCAATCAATTCTTTCCTTATTCCATTTTTCGTGATCTTTATCTAGCTTATATTGATCAATTACCACTTTACAATCCACCTGATATACTTGGTTTACATGCAAATGCAGAAATCAATTATTTAACTAAAACAGCTTATGAAATTTATTCAATGATGCTTGATATTCAACCAGAACAACATGAAATTGAAGATAGTTCAAGTAGAGATCGTAAGAAAAATTGTTTCTTCATATATAAAAATAAAAGACGTTCTCAGGATTGATAACATCATTAAATTATATTTTGTATGGTTTTGATGAAATGAAATGCTTCTCAATATTTTGATGAGCTAATCTGTAGCAAGGTTTGTAATCGAGTGGGCTGGCTATTGACCAAATACTCGATCAGTTATCTTATAGATTTATTCAAGTAACTATGCACTGAGATAATTTTCAGTAGGTTACTCAATCAAGCATCTGTGACGCACTAGTAGCAAAGAATTTTCGAGTAAATCGCTAGAATCGCTTCATGAAAGAATCTCGACAAGTGATAAAAAGTGTTTGAAATGAGATTTGTGTTATTATGTAGAATCTATTGAGACTAGGCAAAACCTATAATGATTTGAGTCTTTGTTGCTTTGTTGTCGAGTTATAACCATTTCAATGCTATCATGACGACCTAAAATTTTGTTCATAAATAAATCTAATGAGTCATGAAGTACACTGAAATTTTCAGTTAAAACAAATGTTTTCCTTCTGAGATAGCAGATTTACAAAAGAATATTTTTATTATTAATCTTATCTAACATATGTATATTCGTTGAGGATGTGATATTTCAAAAAGAAAACCTTCGTTCACGGTAACACTTTCGATGGATGATATAGACCATAAATTCAGTGAAGTAGCCATAACTCTAAAAGAATACTACAGTTATACTAGATTACTACTAAATAAATCTTTGCCAAAATTTCGAACATTTAATATTAATGTAGTTTTAAAAAAAGTATGAGCTTCATTGACTTTTTTTCTCCAGTAACTACAAGTCTTTCACAACATAATAGATCGCCTATGTAACAGTTCTACAATTGTCAAAACGTAATTTCAATACAATGATCATTTTATGCCAATAGTCACCATGAAATATTTTCTATCCGGTCTTTGAATTAATCAAATTCTTTCAAGATTTTGTATAAAAAAAGCTAATTTCTACTATCATTTCAACCAGTAAAGATCTGCCAGAAAAAAAGCTAAAGATTTTCAAGATTCAATGTCTCAAGAGTAATATATTCTATTGGATCGAAAATTCATACTTCAATATTCACAAATAGCTTACTAGAGATTAAAAAAATATACAGTGAAATTAATAACTTGATGGGGACAGCTTATGGAGCAATTCTTTATAGATTGACGAGTGACATTGATGTACGTTCTCCTGTAAGATAATGTCTGTTAAGATTAGTGTTCATTATTTAACAGAAGCACGCACAGATTTTTATTTCGAAATAAACTCTCATATAGAAAACAATCATACATTGTTTTTGTTTTGTCTATATCTTTGAAATATTATAAAAATATAAATTATTTAGAATTTGTTTTATCCTTAATTGATGATATTCTTCAACAAATTCCACCAAAAAAAGATCTCAATATTATAAAACAAAAATTTAAACAAAATTTAACACCATTAACAATTGTTCTTTTTCAAGAAATTCAACGATTTAATTTACTTACATCAATTATGTGGAAATCAATCAATGAATTAAAACAAGCTTTAAATGGTCAAATTAGTTTTTCATTTCAACTTGATGAAATAAATAAATATCTTTATCATGGACAAATACCATTATTATGGAGATCATATACACCACAAACAAAAAAATCACTTGGAAATTGGATTGAACATTTTCAACAAAGAAATCAACAATATGAAAAATGGATACATAATGGTTCATAATTATTTATTAACTTTCAAAAATTCTTAAATTTTTTTTTTTTTATATCAATTTAGGTGAACTTAAAATAATTAATTTAAGTGGATTACATGTACCTGAATCTTATTTAGCTGCTATTCTACAAATAGCTGCACGTAAAAATCAATGGCCTTTAGATAAAGTAACATTTTATACAAATGTTACAAAATGGCAAAATATAGGTTTGAGTGAATTTTCTTTAAATAAAATATTGTTCATTATCAATTTAGATGATGTTGATGCATCTATTCAAGGTATTTGTTTAATTGAAGGTTTGTATTTAGAAGGTGCTGGATGGGATATAGAAAATCATTGTTTAATTGAACAATCACATAAACAACTTATTCAAATGATGCCCTTAATTAAAATTATACCTATTGAAACACATCGATTTAATATAAATAATTATTTACGAACACCAGTTTATGTAACAAGTGATCGACGAAATGCAATGGGTGTTGGTTTAGTATTTGAAGCTAGTCTTTATTCAAAAAAAGATCTTTCACATTGGATACTCAATGGTGTATGTTTATTATTGAATACTGATTAAATAAACATATATTAAAGAAATAGTTATTTTTTATTTTATAAAATAAAAACATATTGAAATAATTGAATTGTTAAATGTGACAAAAGTTTTGCGATATTCTTTCTTTTCAATGATATTCATGAGATTTTTCTAACTGATTCGACTGGCACAGTGTGCAATGGATAAAGAGATTTCCTTGTCACTCACATCTATACCTTCACAAAGAGTATTTGTACACTGATTTAAGCATTTAAGCCCATTATTAGTGCATTTCTGTAAATGATTTCAATACGAGTCAAAGTCGGCAACCTGATGTTCAGAAGGAACTACACAAAAAAGACTGAAACATAGTCTAACGAGGGAACCTCTCCAAGTGTTAATCGCCGATCGAGCTCATATTTTGCCCACAAGTAAGACTCGATGAGACTAGCAGAAGCCCGAAACGATTCGTCCCCATACGCTGTCCTTCCGGGTTTACGACCGTTTTCCTGGCTTTTCGATCTCTGGCTATGATATTTATAGGAAAGCTCAACAATGGAATTTTGACCTGAAATTTTGTTCGTAAACAGGTCTCATGGTGACTAGAATGTCTTAGAAGTTTCAGTTAAAGAAAACAAAATTTACAACGTCGTATTTGAACTGCCCTATACATTGTTCACAGTGTGGGTCTCGGCGTGAGTCACTGAAGAGGATCACATGTACACCCGCCCACACCCACACCCTCAGGATTTGAAAAAAGCGTTCATCCACTGGCAAACATTAGCCACCTTTTTAACCCTGGATACTGCATGCAACGAAAAACTGCTTTGTAAAGTACCATTCGAGCAGCAACGCAGAAAATTTTGGAGGTAATTTTCCAATTAGAAACAAAACCTCAAGTTTTTGCGCTTCTAAAATTCGAAAAACGTGTTTCAAACACTGGGATTTTCCTACTTATTTTAAAAACAATTTTTATGGCATTAATTTCTAGAGTTCCCAACGTCACTTAGACACTAGATATGCAGAAAAGGTATATATCGCAAGGACTAGCTTTCTATAAAAAGCTTGTCAGCGTTGCCCTGCAAAGAAATCTTGACAAGTTGAAGCCACTGACCGGGGAAAAGATTTCCTAGTATATGTCTACGGCAATAAAAAACCTGTAAAGAGAAAGAATTTTATTGAAACACCATAGCTTAAGTTATACATTTTTACGGAATTCTTGTGTTGCATGAAACTGGAATTCGAAAGTTTTGCACACATGTTGATTAAATACAATTTTTTGAAAGAAAGACAATGAATGAAGAATATTGTGAATCCATGAATGGTGCTTCCCAGACAGTTGCTCCTACGACACTTGCTCCCGCGACACATGCTCCCCATTGACACTTGCTCTCCAGTATCATTCGTATTGAGCTATCTTTTTTTGTTGACAACTTAAAAATGTTTGTTGCGAACTTTAAAATGAATGAAACGAAAAAGAGCACAATGTGATTGTACATTCATGCAGCATTTCAAGATAGCACGAGATTCTCTAACTGATTTTAAAATTATAGCTAAAATTACTATACTGCCATTGTAGTTTGAAGTAAAACCACTAATGTAGAGTGCTTGAAGATCACAGAACAATTGAGATAAACAAATACTATACATCGACAAATATATCATCAACTAAATATAGATAATTGGATGACTGTGTTCTTTTATTTATCATGCTTTCGTTTAATCTAATTATTTGATCTCATACATTTTCACTATCACTAATTAATTAAATATCGATGAAAGATAATCCAATAAAATATGGTTGACTAGTAAAAGATATTAATACGTGATTATTCTTTGAGAATATTTTTTTTTGAATTTCACCGGGTCACGTTTCATTTGCAAGGCATTACATCAACATTTTCTGATAGTATTAATGATCAACTTATTTATTACACGATGGAAACTACTAAAGAAAAACCAGTATTTGAACACCAAGGTTACTTGTATATTTTTAATAAAGAATCTTCCAACAAGATAATACGGTGCTGTCATAATTATCGTCATGGTCAATGCCGCGGCCGACTTCATACGATGAACGATCAGGTTATACAAACACAAGGTGACCACAACCATCAGTCAATTCATTCGGCTCGAGCATTAATCGAAGTACGTATAAAAATGAATAACGCAGCTAAACAAACTACTAATACAACACATGATATTGTAGCTGATAGTATATTCAAATTATCTGATCATGCTGTCGCATCATTACCAAATTTGCAAAATCTTAATAGAACTGTTCAACAGATTTGTCAAAAGCATCAAAACTCATTACCATTACCAGCAAATCGCAATTCACTTGTTATTGATCCACTATTTACAGAAACAAATCGTAATCGTACATTTTTACAATTCGATTCTGGACCAATTGATCAACGTTTATTAATCTTTTCTGCCAAGAAAAAATTTAAAATATTAGAGAATACAAATTATATCTATTTAGATGGGACATTTAGTGTGATTCCTGAATTATATTTTCAATTCTACAGTATACATGTCGCATATTTAGATCATATCCTGCCAGCAGCTTATGTTGTTTTGTCTGGTGAGTACCATTTATTAAATGTTTTTTTTAAGTTTTCGTTTTCGGGTCTATATTTTTCTTAGGCAAAAGACAACGTTTATACAAAACTATGTTACAAGAAATTATAAATTTGGTACCGAATTTCGATCCACTGAATGTAATGGTTGACTTTGAAAATGTAAGCATCAATGCAATTAGAAATATATTTTCAATATCCAATTTACATGGATGTTGTTTCCATCTATGTCAAAATGTTTATCATGCTGTTATACGATTTGGTTTAAAAACTTTATATAGTGAAAATGAAGACTGCACATCAAATTCGATCTTTACCTGCTTTAGCATTTTTACCAACTAATGATGTTATTCCAACATTTGATGAAATAAAAGCTCAATTTCCAATAGAAGACGAATCTGTATTAAAGTACTTCGAAGAAAATTATATTGGTGTTAAAACTCCGTCATCAAGACCAAGATAAATTCCTAAGTTCGATATATCATTATGGAATGTTAATACTAATACGCTACAAGGTAAACATAGAACAAACAACGTCGTAGAAGGTTGGAATAACAGATTTTCATCATTAATGAACTGCAGTCATCCAAAATTTTGAAAATTCTTGAAAGGATTAAAAAAAAAGGAACAATTATTCGTTGATGCTCAAATTATTCAAGCAGAAGCTGGTGTAAGACAAGCTAGAAAGCGAGAACAAATTCGTCGTGAAACGCGTATTTTGAATTTGCTTAATGAACAAACAACAACAAGCTATGAAAAAATTATGGCCTTAGCTCAAAATTTCTCATTAAAACATTCATAATTTTCATTTTTCTTTTATTTTCAAAATCAATGATTGATTTATGTGTTTTTCTCTACAAGTGGTAGCGTTTTTTTCTGTTGTTAATATTGCTTCGTACTGCGTGATATTTCAATCATTTGTGCAATCTATAGGACCTTAATCACTGTATTATTGAGTTCAATATCTTAAATTAATAAATTAATATATTTTTATTGTATTTCAGAAAAAGTTTTATTGAGTATTTTTTGGGAGCAAGTGTCGGTGGGGAGTAAGTGTTGCAGAAGCAAATGTCCGGGGAGAAAGTATCATGGAAGCACCATTCGTGCTACCGGATATTGTTAGTAAAGTATTCATTCATGATCGTTATCATAACTTCCTTCAGAAGAAATTGAGCGACGACGACTGAATGGAAAACAAATCCAATGATTTCCTCCATATCGACAATAGGTATTTTCCATCTTTCCATGATCTGGACAATGGCAATGACCACCACGTTCTCCTCCTCGTTGACATTGACAACCACGCCATGGATAATGTGGAGTATCACCCATCAGGCTTACTGAAATTGAAACAAGAGCCATCAGAATCAAGAAAACGCATAGGAATTTCATTTTGTTGATGAAATAATAGTTTATTTTCGATGGACGATGTGATACTGTAGTAGATGTCTTGGTAATGATATTTTATGTGTTGTATAAATACTAAATACACTCTCTTGTATATATACTAAATACACTCTCTTGTATAAATACTAAATACACTTTCTTGTATAAATACTACATATACTCTCTTGTCAAGTGAGTAGGGTGTATGATGTCTTTTTGATTATATAAGAAAGAAAAACAGATGTGTTGTGTGTTTGGCGGACACAAAATTTGAATATAATCTTGTTTCTGGCTCGCCGACTTTCTCTTGAAGTACTTGTGTTTTCTTAATAAGGTATTGCGTATCGCGAATAAACGATGCAGTAATTGATTGTAATTATTGATAGGCGTTATGATCAGTTCTCAAACAACAAATATTTTATTCGTTTTTTGAAATCGTGAGCCGCGTTTATAGCAGTCGCTTTTTGAAATTATGGCGTAAAACTGTGTCTGAATCTGCAGGATTGTACAAGATATTTCATGTCCGACGCCACATATTGCCTTACGACTAGAGCCCATGTGTTGTAGACAGCAAAATCGATTTCAGGGTGAAGTTAAGTGAAGAATTTGTTTAACTGTACTTCTTCTACGGCTTCTTCGATGATGTGCTGCTGTTCGACTTCGTCCCTAAGCCGATCCTTTTGGGCCTGCATCTGCGAACGCATCTGCAAACGATTGTTAATATCCTCTGCATTTGAAGACTCCTAAAAAAAAGAAAGAAGATAAAGATGTATTTTTCGAGACACATGCAAAAACAGAAAGTGTGTACCTGTCCAGAGCCAATCAAAGTGTCTTGCTTAGCAGCTTGGAATTGTTGTCATTTATCACTCAGAGTCTACACTCTAAAAAAATCGGTACTTTACAGAGCCTTCCGAAAATGTTCCTGAAGGTGTGTAGAATCAAAAAAATGGGTTTTCAGATTTACGAAACCTTTAATGGTTCTTATCCTCACTACATGGTCAGAACCTCTCAATGCCAAACCTTTTTTAGGTTCCGTGATG